CCGTGTGGACGATCGCCCTGATGAGTTGGATTGGACTCTGGCATTGAAGACAATCCCATGGGACTGAGGGCATAAAGTCTTGAAATCACATGCATTCACCACTCTGGACATCATTCCTGCAAGAAATAAGGGAGGACAAAGAAAGAGGTTGAAAAAGAAGCCTCTGTTAGTTACCGTATTTTTCAGAGTATAAGATGCACTTCCCCCCCACCCTAAAAGAGGGTGAAAATTTAGATGCGTCTTATACACTGAATGTAGCCCCGCCCACCTGCCAGCCTCTCAAACAGCCTCCAAAAGAGAGGCTGCCTTTGCAAACGGAGCTTTTGGAGCAGCTTCTCAAATGGAGAGCCTCTCAAGCAGAATTTTTTTTTTCTTCTTATTTTCCTCCCTCAAAAATAAGGTGCGTCTTATACTCCGGAGCGTCTTATACTCCGAAAAATACGGTAGTTGCTCAGGAGCCTAGGTGGCACAATGCAATGAGGGAAAGCTGGAAAAACCAACTTGTTGAGAAATTAGCAACCCTAGAGTAGCAAGGGTGTGCACATGAAAGCGACTGAGAGCAGTTGCAAATAATCATAGCCAACACACAGATACACTGTGATGTGTTTACTTTTAGGAAATAGTAATAAGGCACAGTCCAATAAACAGTCCAGGTCATACACAGATAAAGCAGTAGATAGTAAAACAATAGTCCAGGGATATTCCAATAACAAAGTCTTCTTACCAGTCGTTGTAGTCATACACAATAAACAGTTGCAAACAGTAGCAAATAGCAATAACGATCAGTAACATTCAGCAAAAAGTAGCAGAGAGAGTAGCAGAGAGTAGCAAAGAGAAACTAACCATGTTTCAAGCTCTCTCTTAAGGACATTGGCTACAAAGCTAACCAATCAGGACACAGTATGATGCAATACAAGGTTCGAATCTCGCCAGGCTCAAGGTTGACTCAGCCTTCCATCCTTTCTAAGGTAGGTAAATTGAGGACCCAGTTTGTGGGGGCAATAAGCTGACTTTGTATAAATATACAAAAGAATGAAGGCTATTGTTTAGCGCATTGTAAGCCGCCCTGAGTCTCCGGAGAAGGGCGGCATATAAATCAAATTAAAAAAAAAAAATACAGCAATACAGTCTTAAAGTTATATTGAGGTTTTATATATTGCCAACCCAACCCAACAAGTTAGTAAATTATCATTTCCTAACACAACTAGAGAAAATTAAGCAAGCCACTCAAGATGAAAGCCATTACAAGAAGTCTTCAAGTTACAACCATAATTGAACCCACAATTTCTCAGTCATAAGTTGTGAGGTCATAAAGCGGGTCACCACATGACTGGACCGGATTTTATAATCTTTTTTTTCAGCGGCTGTTAAGTGAATGCCGCAGTAAACCTCAGTCACATGACTATGGGCCACTGCAAACGGCCATAAATGAAGGGCGATTGTCGAGTGACCAAAATGCACCGCATGACCTGGCGGGAGAAAGGCCCATACTTCGGAACTTTGCAACCGATCATAAGTCCCATCTTTTTTTATAATCTGTCGTAACAAATGATCAATAAGCAATCAGTCACAAGTAGAGGACTACTTCAGCGCTAGTAAAAAAAAAAAAGGAACAGGGTGATTTTAAACCTCCTTTTATGACACAGACATCTTCCAGGGAGAGAGAGTTCCAAAGCAGAAAAGTTGTTGTGGTTTGGATCAAATTGAACTGACAGAGACCAAGGTTGACGCACTTGGTAGTACAGTGGTTTAAAGCACCCTGTTATTAACACAGCTGCCTGCAATTACTGCAGGTTCGAATCTTACCAGGCTCAAGGTTGACTCAGCCTTCCATCCTTTCTAAGGTAGGTAAAATGAGGACCCAGATTGTGGGGGCAATAAGCTGACTTTGTATAAAATATACAAAAGTATGAAGGCTATTGCTTAACGCATTGTCAGCTGCCCTGAGTCTCCGGAGAAGGGCGGCATATAAATCAAATTTAAAAAAAAACAAAACTTTGTGCCAGGGTGCCAGTCTGCAATTGTACATTGGTGCAGGTAGATCAGTTCAAGTGGCAACTTTGGCGACCCACATAAAAGTTTACCCCACACCACAGGAACCTCTGAGAGAGAGGAAGATAAGATAGACAAACACAGGCTGTTCTCTCATTTTTTTTTTTATGGGAAACCATCCAGGCTACCTTATAAGTATCTTTGGGAAAATATACAGAAAAGTGACGTAAATTTATTATTCCAGCTGAAGTAGCAGATGCAGAGTGATTTTGAGTGTCTCAAAAGTAGTTAAAACAGTCAGCATGGATGCCTGGAGAATGTGGGAATTTGAAGTTTGTGTTTCCCCGAAAATAAGACCCTGTCTTATATTTTTTTTGAACCCCGAAATAAGCGTTTGGCCTTATTTTCAGGGAGGTCTTATTATTTTGGGGTGTGTGGAGGAAACCAGAGGAAATGGCGAGGACCGGCTGCACATGTGTTTAAATATTTTCAGGGGAGGCTTATTTTAGGGCATGCGCTCAAAAGCCCGATTGGGCTTATTATCAGGAGATGTCTGATAATTTTTGGGGAAACAGGGTAATACATGTAGGGGGGACTTTTCATGGGGCCAACTAGCCCCACAGTTGTTTGGGCCCATGTCCCCTATGAAAGGCTATACATCCAAGTTTAACATATAATAATAAATACATATTATTTACTGTATAAATAAAAATTATTTATAAAATAAATATTATTTCATACTTTAATATATTAAACACCTTTTGTTTCAGCCTCTTACAAATCTAAATCTCTCTCTCTCTCTCTCATACACAAACACACACATATCTACACAAAGTGCAGTATTTAATTTGTAATTATTTATATATCTGTTTATTTTATTTAATAACTTATATTGTAAACTGACCAGATGGGAATCTTAATTCAAAAATGGGACATATTGTAGAAAACTTGAATGGGTAAATACAATATCAAAGTGGAACAAGGTGAAACAGAAAAAGTTTTATGTATTTAGTTTATTAAACTAAATAGAACTCAATCCATGGATAGATGAGTGGGTGGGTGGGTGGATGAATGAGATAGATAGGTAGATAGATAGATAGATAGATAGATAGATAGATAGATAGATAGATAGATAGATAGATAGATATAGATGATTGATTGATTGATAGATATAGATGATACATGATAGATAGATGATAGATAGATAAATATAGATAGATAGGTAGGTAGGTAGATAGGTAGATAGATAGATGATAGATGATTGATTGATTGATAGATATAGATGATAGATAGATGATAGATAGTTAAATATAGATAGATAGGTAGGTAGGTAGGTAGGTAGGTAGATAGATGATAGATGATTGATTGATATAGATGTTAGGTGATAGATAGATGATAGATAAATATAGATAGATAGATGGTAGGAAGGTAGGTAGGTAGGTAGATGATAGATAGATGATTGGTTGATTGATTGATAGTTATAGATGATAGGTGAGATAGATGATAGATAGATAAATATAGATAGATTATAGGTAGGTAGGTAGGTAGGTAGGTAGGTAGGTAGGTAGGTAGATAGATAGATAGATAGATAGATAGATAGATAGATAGATAGATAGATAGATAATTAGTATATCTTGCCGAGGCCATGATTAAAATTGCAATTGTTCCAATGAGTGGAAGTACTATATATCTGCGATGATGTAAAAGTGCTCACTCGGAATATTTGCACGGGATGCTACAGGTTGGTACTTCTAACTATCCTGTAGTTTGTTGCTTGCATAACTTTGTGTGTTCTCCTTGGTTGGTTTGCCTGGAGCTAGTTTGTGGTTCAGCACATTATGCTTATTACTTACCTACTTATTACATTTGACTTTTTTGTTTCCTCTTAAGCCAATGTAGGTTGTGTAAATTCAGAAAGCAGATTAACTCCGTTCGCAAGGCAACTGGAAACACAGGGCATGGCAATCGTGCCTTGAAGACAACCTGATACTCTGCAGAATGAGCGCTGCTGCCTCGGAAAGGCCAGATCAAGTTCCACTTGCATTGCTGGACGACCAACCCTACTTTCTCAAGCTAATCTCTCTTGCTGGGAGGGTTGTAGGAAGCCAGCACCGAGAATGCTGTTTTTTTTTTCTGGGCTAATCCTTCCAACAAGCTTGAGTTAAATTTTAAATTGATTTTAAATTGGGTTGTTTTAATTTACGGCCAAAATATTTAATTATTTTAAACTGTTTTTTAAATTTTGTATGTCCTGTTTTTTTTTTTTTACTTTGGCTGTTCACCGCCCTGAGTCCTATTTGGAGAAGGGCGGTATAGAAATTGAAACAAATAAATAAATAAGTAATAAATAATAATTAATAAATAAATAAATAAATAAATAAATAAATAAATAAATAAATAAATGAATGAATGAATGAATAAGTAAGTAAGTAAGTAAATAAATAAATAAATAAATAAGTAAGTAAATAAATAAATAAATAAATAAATAAGTAATAAATAATAAAAAATAAATAAATAAATAAATAAATAAATAAATGAATGAATGAATGAATGAATAAGTAAGTAAGTAAGTAAGTAAGTAAGTAAGTAAGTAAGTAAGTAAGTAAGTAAGTAAGTAAATAAATAAATAAATAAATAAGTAAGTAAGTTAAATAAATAAATAAGTAAGTAAGTAAATAAATAAATAAATAAATAAATAAGCAAGCTCCCGCATCTCTTTGCAAGAAAAATAAAAGAAATTCTGCTTATCCCGACGCAGAAGAAACCAACCTTCTCCTCCGTTCTGCGACGTCATTATGGGCCGAAAAGTGGCTGGAGCAGAGTTAAGGAGGTTCCCACCGCGAGCGGGAGAAAGATGCTCGGAATGCCCGCGTCCCGCTTGCAAAGTTGCACTTCGCGGCTTCCCGGCCTGAATGCGGCGTTGCCAAGACGCTGTAGCCCCGGCAACGCCGAGCGGCTCCCCGATTGGCCGAGAGGTCGCGCGGTTGCTTAGCAACCGTAACTGGCGACAATTGCGCTCCACGTGTCTTTGGAAAGGCCTTCGCGCCGGTACCCGTTCCGCGCCCGTCGTCTGAATGTCGCCCCGTTTTTCTGACGGGGACGCCTCGGAGCTCTCTTCCCCCTTTTCCAGGGGCTTTTGGCTCCTAAGCGCAAATCAGGTGAGAGGGCAGGACTGCTGGGTGGAAAAACTCAGGAGGGGGTGCACGTGGGAATCGGCTTTCGCGGGAACTCGGGCTCGCCCTCTGGGTATACAGAAGCAGCCCCCCGATTGGGCTCGGTCAGGGGTGTTCCCGAGTTGAAAGTTTGAAAGCTTGCGCGTCCTCCCAAAAGTCCTGCGCGCAGCAGCTCAAGGAGGATGCCAGCGTCCCCCCTCAACCTTTTCCCTTCCCTGGCTTTGACTTCAGTCAAAATCACGCCTCCCTCTGCTATTTTAACAGAGCAATTTATTTATGGCACCATGCCCCTGTATATTTCCCTAAGATGTTCCTAGGGTGGTCCTGGGTGGTTTGTCCATGAAAAATGAGATTTAGATAAGGAGGGGAACAGCCCCCCCTCCCTCTCCCTCTCTCTCTCCCCCTCCCTCTCCCACCCCCTTTCTCTCTCTCTCCCTCCCTCCCTCCCTCTCTTCCTCCCCTTTCTCTCTCTCTCCCTCCCCTCTCCCCCTCTCTCTCCCTCTCTTCCTTCTCTCCTTCCCTGTCCCCTTCTGTCTCTCCCTCCCCTTTCTCTCCCTCTCACCCCCCTTTCTCTCTCTCTCTCTCCTCTCTCTCTCCCCTCTCTCCCTCTCCTCCCTCCCTGTCCCCCTCCCTCTCTTCCTCCCTTTTCTCTCTCTCTCCCTCCCCTCTCCCCCCTCTCTCTTCCCTCTCTCCCTCCCTGTCCCCTTATGTCTCTCCCTCCCCCTTTCTCTCCCTCTCCCCCCTCTCTCCCTCTCCTCCCTCTCTCCTCCCTCCCTCCCTGTCCCCCTCCCTCTCTCCCTCCCCTTTTTCTCTCTCTCTCTCCCCCCTTCTCCCCCCTCTCTCCCCCTCTCTTCCCTCTCTCCCTCCCTGTCCCCTTCTGTCTCTCCCTCTCATTTCTCTCTCCCTCTCACCCCCTTTCTCTCTCTCTCTCCTCTCCCTCTCCCTCTTCCCCTCTCTCCCTCTCCCTCCCTCCCTGTCCCCCCTCCCTCTCTTCCCTCCTTTTCTCTCTCTCTCCCTCCCCTCTCCCCCCCTCCCTCTTCCCTCTCTCCCTCCCTGTCCCCTTATGTCTCTCCCTCCCCTTTCTCTCTCCTCTCTCCCCTCTCTCCCTCTCCTCCCTCTCTCCCTCCCTGTCCCCCTCCCTCTCTCCCTCCCCTTTCTCTCTCTCTCTCTCCCTCCCTTCTCCCCTCTCTCCCCCTCTCTTCCTCTCTCCCTCCCTGTCCCCTTCTGTCTCTCCCTCCCATTTCTCTCCCTCTCACCCCCTTTCTCTGTCTCTCTCTCTCCCTCCCTCTCTCCCCCTCCCTCCCTCTCCTCCCTCTCTCCCTCCCTGTCCCCCTCCCTCCCTCTCTCTCCCCCTCCCCTTTCTCTTTCTCTCCCTCCCCTCTCTCTCCCTCTCTCCCTCTCTCCCTCCCTCCCCTTTCTCTCCCTCTCTCTTTCTCTCTCTCCCTCCCTTTCCCTCTCACCCCCTCTCCCTCCCTCTCCTCCCTGTCCCCCTTCCTGTCCCCCTCCTTCCCTCTCTCCCTGTCCCTCTCTCCTCTCACCCCCTTTCTCTCTCTCCCCCTCCCCTCTTTTCCATCTCACCCCCTCTCTCCTCCCTCCCTCTATCTCTCTTTCCCTACCTCTCTCTCCCTCATCAGAAGGATGGTAAACCCGCACCTTAATTAGTTAGCATTTTTAGCTTCCTAGACACATGCTGGCAGATGCTGGCAGGCATGTCGTAGCTGAGCTTCTCCTTCTGTTGGCCTATGAGGATGACCAGACTGCTGGCAGAGATGCCTCACTAAGGGGATGGTTCGCATGTGCCTCAGTCATCATAACTACCCGGGGCCCGACACCATCTTTTCAAGAGGACCTGACTCAATCCTGGTTTAGTAGATGGCAGGCATATGCTTCTCAACTTGTCCATAAGTTCAGCCTGACATTTTTGAGGGAGGCAGCTGCAGGGATGCAATTTATCCACTCACCAGGAACCTGCTTATAGTACTGTGCAATAGCCATCGTGGTGGGTTTTCACATCCCATTCAGCCAACTCGATCATCAGACAGTGCGAAGAGACTGTCTGAGGAAGCAGATGGTAAAGTTGGCATGGCCCTCCTTGGGCGTTCTTCAAACCTTCGAAACTCTTTGTGATTCCTGACTTCGGCAACCTAAGTCTTTGTTGTCAGCTGAGAGGAGAAAGATGGGTCTCATGCCTTCAAAATGATGGCAGAGGCTTTCCAAGGTTTAGCCTCTAAAGAAGATGAAACAGTCTTTGCTTTTGGTCAGAGCATTGGAGCAAAGGGGAGTTATCTTGTCTGTTTCAGAAATATCTTGTTCCTGGATAGGGCCCAGCAAGGGTTTGTTGTACCTAGGGAGGTGAAAATCCCATCCAGTTTGGTCATCTGATGCTACCAGATTTATCTCTTCCAACTGTCATCTTTACTGGACTGTTTCCAGTATTTTGCATGACAGTTCATTCTCATATGCTCAAAGAAAAACAACTGCTATCAAATCTGTCAGTGTATAAAAGGTTCACGAATTGGAATAGACATGGTAACAGGTCAGCCAATGGGGACTGTTTGGTGACCCAGACGGCTCGGAGCCTAGGCATGGCTTAGGTTCACTGATCTGTGTATATATGAGTGCTTCTGTGATTTTTGATTCTGTACTTCTGGATTCTGAGTTCTGGCTTCTGCTGTATGGTATGTGTATATAAAGAAGTTTCTTTTATAAATGAATCCTGCTGAATTCTTTACTTGTGTGCTGGTTGAATTGCTGCAAACTCTTAACAAAATCTGTCCACTTTTTAGCGATCGATAAGAATCAAGCTGTACAACCCATTGAGCGATGCCAAAAATAGGAGCTACCATAGCAAAATTAATGTGTGGGGAATGTGTGTAAAGATATAAGTCAGGGCGGTGTTCTCACAAGTTGTTTTTGTCCCACCCTTTTTTGGGTGTTGCATATGGGGATTTTGATTGTGCAGTCGCAGATGCCATGATGTTCATTAGCATGCTTGTAATGTAGGCAAATTCTAATTGTTCTTTGAGGAGGTAATTCAGCTGCCTGCAGTTCCTGGAGTCTCTGTGTGATTTCAGTACCAACAGAACTCCCTTTTGGAACACTGGGATTCTCTCTTACGATACAGATAGTCCTCGACTTACAACAGTACGCTTAGTGACCGTTCAACGGCACTGAGGAAAGTGACTTGTGACCTTTTTTTCACGCTTATGACCTTCGTAGCATCCGCAGGAACATATGATCAAAATTAAGATGCTTGGCATCTGACTCACATTTATGATGGTTGCAGGGTCATGTGATTCCCTTTTGCGACCTTCTGGCAAACAAAATATAGGAGCCTTGGTGGTGCAGCAGACTAAAGTGCTGTTAAAGTAGCACTTAGCTGCCAGCTGCCTGCAATTACTGCGAGTTCAAATCTCACCAGGCTCAAGGTTGACTCAGCCTTCCATCCTTCCGAGGTAGATAAAATGAGGACCCGGTTTGTGGGGGCAATAAGCTGACTTTGTATAAAATAGAACACCCGGGGGGGGGGGCAAAAAGCCTTACTAAGCAGGTATGAAGTATGAAGTATGAAATATGAAGGCTATTGCTTAACGCATTGTAAGCTGCCCTGAGTCTCCAGAGAAGGGCAGCATATAAATCGAACCAATAAATCAATAAAATCGACGGGGAAGCCAGGTTCACTTAATAGCCGTGTTACTAATTTAACAACTGCAGTGATTCACTTAACAAATGTGGCAAGAAAAGTCGTAATATGGGGCAAAACTCACTTAACAGATTTCTCACTTAGCAACATAAATTTTGGGCTCGATTGTACATTCCATAGCAAAGTTCCGGATTCTTGCATGTCTTTTTAATTTATTTTAGCCCAACTTTGCTTGTGGGGGGGGCAGGGGGCGGGGGAGGACTGTTGATATTTACACAAATCCCAACACTTCCAGCTGCACTTAAAATAAGATCGGTCTTCCCACATTCTCTCTTTCCTGGTCCTGTAACAACCATTTGCTAGAGGCTTTGACAACGCCAGGAAGCAGAGGAAGGGGAAGAGACAGAAGTTCTTCCAGTTTCCCGTGACTTGAGTGATGTGAGGATTGAAGGATGATGGTGTGAGAGGCAAAGCCAACAAGGCTGAGAAATGGGTTATGGCCTCGTGGCGCAGTGGACTAAACTACTGTTAAAGTAGTATTTAGCTGCCAGCTGCCTGCAATTATTGCAAGTTCAATTCTCACCAGGCTCAAGGTTGACTCAGCCTTCCATCCTTCCGAGTAGATAAAATGAGGACCCGGTTTGTGGGAGCAATAAGCTGACTTTGTATAAAAAAGAACACCGCTTGGGGGGGGGGCAAAAAGCCCTACTAAGCAGGTATATACAAAAGTATGAAGGCTATTGCTTAAAAGCATTGTAAGCCGCCCTGAGTCTCAGGAGAAGGGCGGCATATAAATCGAACCAATAAATAAATAAATAATAAATAATAATATGGGGCAGCAAAAAAAGATAAAGAAAAAGTTGAAAAACCCTGCATTGAAATACAAATGGCTTAATTCCTAGATGGTGATGGTGAACCTATGGCACGCATGCCCAAAGTGGCACGTGAAGTCATGTTGCCTGGCATGCGCTGCCTTGCCTGTTTGTCTTCCGGGTTTCTGGTGCACATGAGCGTGCAACAATCAGCTGTCCGTATGCGTGGCAGTGCCGAAAACCAGTGTGTGCGTGTGCGCCAGTCAGCTGATTGTCGGATGTGTATGCACACTAGAACCCGGAAGTTTGGCTTTTCTGGACCATGGCCCTGATGAGTGCGTGCGTGTGCACGATGTTTCCGCGCAACCTTTTTCACACTCGTTGCCGAAAAGATTCTCCATCACTGTCCTAGATTCTTCAGAAGGGGATCTTAGAGCTTTTTTTTCCACATTTGCAATACAAGTAGTCCTCGATTTACGACCATACTTGAGCCCCACATTTATGTTGTTGCTAAGTGAAACATTTGTTAA